CGATGCGCTCTGAAACTACGGCGGCCGAGGACAAAAAATACACATGCGTTAATCGCGTTAAAATAATTAGTGGCGTTAATTTTTTTTTGCGTTAACGCGTTATTAACGCGTTAACTTGACAGCCCTAATTTTTTTCCATGCAGCTTTTAGTTTGGAAATATCACAATTCACAAAAATGTAAGTACCATCAGCTGATGATCGACTCAGTTTTTTCACAAGGAGTTTTTAGTCTGGCCGAGCAGAGCTCAAGGAGCTGCTCGGTGCTGTAGTGACTCAGTGACTCAGATAAAGCATAAACTGGAAACATGTGAGATTCTCATTTCCGTCCAGTTAGGGCCATTTCATTAAAGCTGCTGCTGCTGTGTGGTCCTGTAGTGATTTTAGTTGCGAGCTATTATAGCCAATTAAAAATGCCTGTTGGAAGACTCTCAAACCACTTCACTCAGAACTAACAGACTTCTTGGGGACCGGGCGTCTGCTTTTTGAAATGATCTCAATAGGAGGAAACACATGCACACTCTTTAACTTCCCACAAGCAAACCTATAAACCAACATGTGTATTTATCTTGTTTGAACTGTTGCATAGAGCCATGTACAGTGTATACACCTGTAAGAATGTGTAGTGTGTTTACAGAGATGATAACACACACACAGCTCATTTGCATGTCATTGTGCTTTGCTGATAAACAAGACATTAGCCATGCAAAGTGAGGATTTTTTTTGTGTATCGGGGGTGGTGGCGCGGGGGGGGGGGGTCACCTCCTGATCACAAACATTTTAATGACACTTCAGAATTAATAATGCAAAAAAAAAGTGACAAGAAACTTTTTACATATGCGACAAAAGGCCAAGAGGGGAACAACACACACACAAACACAAATACACACACACAGCTTGTACCCTTGGCTCATGTCAGCGTTGCTCTGTATGTAAATGCCTCCCCCTGACATTGCTCTGCTGCACATCCTGTATGCTAACCAGCTCAGGTTTCTGATCCACTTTTGATTGGACGGGGGAGCGGGGGCTACTGTACAGCACGAGGGTCGTAAGCCTCCTTGATTGAGAGCTCAGGGTGAAGGAGAGAGGACTGTACTACACTAACCAGAGGGATGAATGAGAGTAGAGGATCAGAACTCATTGTGTTTGAACACTGAGGAAACATCAAGAGTCAAGGTTACCGCAGCAGCTGGACCCTTGTGTGAATGTGTGAATGTCTCAATGCTGACCTGATGTTAATAATCCAATGTTATCATTGATTGGCCTCCAGCTAAATCATATTATCCTGATATAAGCTTGATATGATATAATAATAATACACTATATGCTTTATTCTTGTATACATTTCTGCAGTCTCAATTGACAATATTAAGCCAGTTGTAATACAAAAATACTGAAGTCATTATTTTACACATGAAGAGGTTAGGGTTCCGGTCAAACCTGCTGTGGGACCCTGGGGTAAAAATGATATGCGGGGCCTCCATTAACTCTCATTTTCTCTCCACTTTGTGGACCTGACATGACCTCAAACCCCTGGCCCAAAGAACCTTCCCTAAACTTTACACACATATACATGTACATGGACAGTTTGGAGAAAACATCATTATTAATGACTTCAACTATATCACCATCCATCACTGATTGACCAAATCAAGATAAAGTAACATATTTAATGAGAGCACATGGGCTGACTGATCGAGTTTCTAGAAAAAAATCTATAAATAAGAGATTGTTTAATTGAATAGCCTTAAATTCAGCCATTTGTGGGCAATATCTCCAAATCAGTCTGTTAACAGTTCTAATTTCTTCGATTGCACACACTTTAACTATTTCCTTGTGATAAAAACCACATTACACTTTGGCCTGCAAACAATAGAGTTTAGAATAATTGTTGCCAGAACAGCACCAGTTAATAAAGGTTCAATCTGAGTTGAGTGAATGGGCGAGAAGAAAAGAAGAGTGAAAGTGTAAATTGAATGATTGAATAAAAAGTATCCGTAGAGTGGAGGTGAGATACAGATGAGAGCGTTCCTCTCTGTTTGTCTTCCCTCTGGCCACTGGCCACTGAGAAACATGATGTATAATAATCATTTGACACTCGCTACACTAATCGCACACTCCGCGCTGATCTGCACTTCCTCCTAATTGCACAGATTTGAATCCCTCTCTAATCCCCCCCCGCCACCCTCATCTGTAATAGCTGTGATTTAATTTAGCTATTTAACCCGTAATTCAAGCAATATTTATTGAGGAGTGGAGCGGGGGGGTGAATTGGGCCATTAGCTGCCCCAGATGAATACACTGAGATGAGAATGAACGCCGCTAACTGCCAGTTGACCTTCGCACCGATTGCTAGCCGCTCTCTCTCTCTTCCCTTTTATGTACGCCTCAGCCGCAGTAATTATGGCAAATTGAATCATAGTGAAAACTGGAATCAGTCAGTAATGAGAGTTTTATATTGTGTGACTGAAGCAGGAAGGAGAGGATAGAGAACGTAGAAGTGCTGCTGAAGGCTGGGGGGTTCTCTCCTCCTGCACATTACACACACTGATACATGATCAATCGTTTTTCTAAAAGAGTTGGAGCAGTCATCTCAATAAGATGAATAGGCCATTTTCACCCATTTTGAAACGTAATGAATGTTGTATTTCCAGTATTAACGAGATGCTCCCAAAGATTTAGCATATGTGTAGTAAAAGGAAACAAATAACGAATTATGCATAAATTAGCAAAGAGGGATATTTAATGCATAATATACAAAATAATGATGGCAGCTGTTTGTAGAGGCTTCAGTAGCTTTCCTTTGTGAAGCCACAGGCTAACCTCAGGACTGAGTGTTAGGTGTGTTGTGATCCCTCTACTGGAGGCAGACAGTAAGATATCATTTCACTGCTACGGAGACATTTGGTCTGTTTATACCAACTATGTTTCAACAATGTTTTAAGGCTAAACTATACAGAAGGGTTTAAATCTATTTATGTTCTGATTCCAAAAATCTGATCCCTTTTTTCTTAATTGTACTTAAGTTTCAACTGAGATGATTTCACATAAACTTCACGATCTACAATTTGCTAAACACTTGTAAAATGTCTTTGAGTTTTTTTTAGTCTTGTCTTATTTTGTCAACAATATAACATGCTGATAAAGTCACAGGAAGTGTTTAATAATGCTTCGAAAAACCTTTATAATTATACATTTAAAATGTGTGTCTGATAAGCCATCAGACACACATTTTAAATTATAAAGGTGTCTTCTCGTGTCTGTGTTCAGAAACACACACAGGAGAGGAGAGAAACCAAGAGAGTATGCTGATGTAGAGGGACCAGTGTGTTTTCGTATTCACACACACACATACACACACACGCACACGCACACGCACACACATGCACGCACGCACGCACGCACACACACACACACACACACACACACACACACATACACACACACACACACACACACACACACACAGCACTCCATAAAACATGGGTTTCTTCATTCTTCCAAATCAAGTGATGAGCAGCTCCCTCTCTCTCTGGTTTTTCATATGGAAATAGGAAATAATGGGGTGATTAAATAGAGTCGTATATTAAAGTACAGCTGACATTAGAATTAGCATAATGTGCTCTCGCCTCGGGCTGCATACTTTATTTGCCATCTGCGTTGGACTCCCTTCCCCCGGGAGGGCGCAAGCGCACACGCGCACACACACACACACACACACACACACACACACACACACACACACACACACACACACACACACACACTTTCCCCAAAGAAAAAACACGATCTGCTCCTTTACTGCAGCCGAAGAGAAATGGCTCTTGGAAACACACACTGTGTCGCTGTTTCTTTAACACACTATAACACACACCATTTGCTCTAATTGTTGGGCAGAGAGGAACATGAACTGCCCCCCACTCAATAACCAGGAGTAAGTTCAGCTCAAATCCTTTCAAATCAAATACTGTATATGTCCGTTTAGATTTTAAATCAATACATCTGTTTTGCCAATAAGGAGATAAAACAGACAAACCAAAAACAAGAGGAAAGAAAAATGATACATACAGCTGTAAATCATCTCTCTCCAGTCTTCATCATTGATCAATTGGTCCAGCGAACAGAGGGAGAGAGGGGGGAGTGTTTCTGTTTGTAGTGTACAAGGTCTTAAGATCGAGCAGTAAAACAGCGTGGTGTGTGTGTGTGTGTGTGAGTGAATGTGCTGTCCACTATAATTAAGTCAATAGACTCAAAAGGACTGTGGAGATGAACAGCTGTTCTGCATTTTGACTTTCCTCCTTAACAAACACAAACACACACACACATTCTCAGAGATGATGTAATATTTTAATTACTAATTGTTTATTCTTTAATGGTATTAAAAATGTATGAAACATTACTGACCCCTTATCATTTTATTACACACATTGTTTTTGATTATATTTGATTTTGTTCATACACACATCTAAGACTCCACTTAGATGTGTGTATGAACAAAATAAAATGGAAATCTTGACCCGTTGTTATAACACATGCATAGACTTCACAGCGGGCGGAACTTGTCATAAAGTCCGCGATAATAAAGCCCACCCATTTAGAGGGAAGATATGATTGGTCAATTGTACTGTCAGTTGACATTACTCTCTCATTGAGTTACTATAGCGGGCCCTCTGTGAATTCATAGCTGGACCACCAATCACGTATGTAGCGTTTATGTGACAACATGATGAGCCAATGAATTACCAGGACCATACACACTTATTTCACTGCTTTTCAGCCAATTAAGTTCAATCACTGCAATGTTGTTGTGAAATCCAAAAACGGTAATGAGATATTGATTAATGAATAAGGTAGATTTGACCTTTACCCAATCATTTGCTTCATTTTTCACTCTTCATATCAGATATGCTTCTTAATTTCTGCCTGAAGTTGTGAGAGTGCAGTATACGTGATGGTGTTGTCAGCTGCAGTATTTAATGTGTTTCTTTCTCTTCATATTGCAGGTGGCAGGGATGAGCCTTCCAGCTATATATGTACCACATGTAAGCAGCCCTTCCCCAGCGCCTGGTTCCTGCTGCAGCATGCCCAGAATAGCCACGGCATTCGGATATACCTGGAGTCCAACCCCTCAAACACTGCCCTCACCCCACGCCTCGCTATGCCTCCACCCATGGGCAACGACTCCATCCCGCAGTCCCCCCTCACCAACTTTCTCGGGGACAACAACCCCTTTCACCTATTGAGGATGGCGGGACCCCTGCTCCGGGAGCCTCCCCCAGGCTTTATGGAGAACCGGCTTCCCAACACGCCTCCATTCATCAGCCCGCCTCCCCGCCACCACCTGGACCCCCATCGACTGGAACGCCTTAGCGCAGAGGAAATGGGCCTCATATCACAGCACCCCAGTGCCTTTGAGAGGGTGATGCGGCTAACGCCCATGGCCATGGAGTCCCAGTCCATGGACTTTTCCAGGCGGTTACGTGAGTTGGCAGGGAACAACAACAACACCACTCCACCTTTGTCCCCCAGCAGGTCCAACCCTATGCACCGACTGCTAAACCCCAATCCCTTCCAGCCTGGGCCAAAATCACCTTTTCTGAGCACCCCTCCCTTACCGCCGATGCCCCTAAACAGCACCACCCCTCCCCAGACACAGAACAAAGTCAAGTCCTGTGAGTTCTGCGGTAAGACCTTCAAGTTCCAGAGCAACTTGGTGGTGCATCGGCGCAGCCATACTGGAGAAAAACCATACAAGTGCCAGTTGTGTGACCACGCTTGCTCTCAGGCAAGCAAGCTGAAGCGCCACATGAAGACCCACATGCACAAGGCTGGATCCCTGACGGGGCGCTCAGATGATGGACTGTCCACCACAAGCTCCCCAGAGCCCGGCACCAGTGATGTCACAGGTGAAGGCATGAAGAATCGTGATGGGGACTTCCAGGGGGAAGGCAACGAGGAGGAAGAAGAGGAGGAAGAAGAAGAGGAACTTGAGAATGAGAGTCGACCAGTGTCCAACTTCAGCATGGAGTGTGAGTTCTTCAGGAACAGGGAGAACGGCTCTAAACTGCCCTCAGAGGACAAGCCATCACTCGCCCTTGAGAAAATGGTGGAAGGTGGGGGTCTAAACTCTATTCAGCAGTACAATAATTTAATAGTTGACAATCGTAAAAGGATGCCCTTCACCAAGAGGGGTTCCGATGGCCTGAGGGACACAGGGGATGAGGACTCAGTGGCTGGGGAGATAAACCACCACCACCAGCAGGAAGAGAGGACCACCATTAATGGCCGGAACTGTGGCTCTGTTGACTCTTTCTCAGGCCTGTTTCCACGTAAGCCCACCCCTATCACCAGCCCCAGCCTGTCCATCTCCTCAAATAAGAGGATCAAGATTGAGAAGGACTTGGACATTCCCCCAGCACCCCATATTCCCTCAGAGAACGTGTACTCCCAGTGGTTGGTGGGCTATGCTGCCTCACGCCACTTCATCAAAGACCCTTTCCTCGGCTTCACTGACTCCAGACAATCGCCCTTCGCCACCTCCTCTGAGCACTCGTCCGAGAACGGCAGCTTGCGGTTTTCAACGCCTCCGGGTGACCTGCTGGATGGAGGTCTTTCAGGACGCAGCGGCACCGCCAGTGGAGGCAGCACGCCTCACCTGGGTGGAGGTCCAGGCAGGCCTGGCTCCAAGGATAGCAGGAGGTGCGACACCTGCGAATACTGCGGTAAGGTGTTCAAGAACTGTAGCAACCTGACGGTGCACCGGCGCAGCCACACAGGTGAGAGGCCCTACAAGTGTGACCTGTGCAACTATGCCTGTGCCCAGAGCTCCAAGCTCACACGCCACATGAAGACACACGGCCAGCATGGGAAGGATGTCTACCGCTGTGACATTTGCCAAATGCCCTTCAGCGTGTACAGCACCTTGGAAAAACATATGAAAAAGTGGCATGGTGAACATTTGATGACAAATGAAGTCAAAATTGAAGAAGCCGAGAGAACATAAATTGGTGTCTCTCTTTCCAGACTTTGCACCACACTTTGACAAAAAAAAACTAACAAAATGGGGTAGCTGGATACTCTTTTTCTGAAATGTTCATTTTGGGTCAATTTTGTGTTTTTAAGAAACTGCCAAATGAGAAAACAGAGATCTTAACACCACTTAAGGCTGTCTAAACTGCCTCATTTGGGGTTCCTTTTTAAACAATCAGTCAGTTGAGTTATAATATATGTGGAGCCTTTAACTGTGCAATAATTTCTGTATTTATTCAATTTTGTATTTTGGCATGTGCAGGTACATTATTATTTGGGCTTTTTTTTTTGTATATTTGTTTTACTTGATTTAGCATTTCTCTGTTTTTTAAAACCCCATGTTATCCTGAGAGTTTTTTCAGAAGACAAAGGTCAATTTTGTTTTTTTTGGCCGCTGCTTGTAGTAAATTGTATATTAAGCTAAACGTGTGATTTCTTGAAGAGAGGCTGAATTCAATCTTCAATTTGAAAGTGGCGTTAACTGAGAATGCTAGAATTAGTCTATTTTGTGTGATGATGATACGCGGACAACAATCCTTGTAGCATGAACTGAGTCTAAAACATGTCAATATAATTGGATATGTAGCACTGAGCGTCATATTTGACAGTAAATCTAAAATCAAAGAGGATCCCAAGGTTCCTGCTGAGAACAGAACTACCAGCCAGAGGAAACACATCTGGATAAGGCAGCTGCTGACTGGTACGTGGTCCCAAGCCCCGACAACGCTACGACAACCATCTTCTGCTTTCCAGCCCCTCCATCTTCATACATCCATTCATTATACTTTGCATCAAGCCATATGATCTAGGCCATTATTTATATGGAGTAAACTGAGCATGAAGCCATGCAATACGAGTATGCTTAGAGATAGATAGAAGACTCAGACAACAGCACAGGGACATCTCAGGGTGAGCTTTACTACTTTTGTGATTAACCCAATATTTTCTGCATTTCCATTTCATCATATGTTGGAATTAGCGACAGTACAACACCCCCCCACCCCCCCCACCAGGCTAATGCCCAGGCTTTGTCCTCAATTTAAAGTGGTTAGACTAATTTATATTTGAAGTCACAGCTTGTAAATATGACATGAATTAGTTTAGAGAGGGTTACATGTGTGTGAATACATGGCAGACTACTCTTAGTTTCCTGCAGAAAATTGAATTTGATTGATTTTATTGTTAAGATTTATAAAAATCAACAACCCTATGCATTTTGTGCTCAAATGTCTCTCATGACATTTTTTTGAAAAGTGGTAGAGTAAATGTTAACTTGTATCTTCATAGTGATCTATAAATGTATAATCTGATTACTGAAGTCACCATGTGGTTAAGGAATCCACTAAGAATAGGAATCCTCAAAGGTTTCACCATTAGTTGTAGGACAGTTTTGTGTAAAAGAGGAAATGATATGTCAATGTGAGTGGAAGTAGTAAGACTAACGGTAAGACATCATTTTCGCTCCATGCCCCTTTGTTTTTTTAAATATCATAACCCCATCCACCTTCATAGCTGCGGTCAATTCATAAATCTAGAGTTCTTAGCAACAGATCCGCACTTTATCATTTCCCCGTCCGACACAGAGAGAGCTGGACAGAAAGGTACTGAAGGGTGGAGAGCTTTGGGGTCTGCTGATGCTGAAGTGCCCAGGGTTGTTAGGCAAGGCTTTTCCAATGCTGGCACTATACAAAAAAAAGGAAATATCATTTATTTGGGACAGTTTTTGTACTGCCATTCAATTTGACATGAGTGTGCCTTGAATAATGATCTTCCTATTTATTGTCTCAGACAAATGCAACACTTTTTATGAAGCATCAAATTGAACAACAAAAAATGTGAACTTTAACTTGTAGTTTGACATTTCCACGGAAATATAAATTAAATAATGCTGAGTTCAGGCTAGGAGTACCCAGCACAATATCAGTGTGTCTGTGTGTGTGTATATATGTATGCATATGTACATATAAAGGCACAAACCTATATATAGATATATATCAAATTCCTCACTCATTAGGACAATAGTCGGTCCAACAACAAAAAGCCACTCAAAAGGTCAAGGAAGAGACTCAACAAAAATCAGGAAATGCAGAAACTAAAATAAAATGAATTTAGTGCACTCTGTCTTACAATAAGTTTACAGTATTAAAACAAGTACAAGGGTAAAATAATATGTGTGTGTATGTGTGTTTTGAACAAACAAGTATTTTTTTTTCAGTTTTGCTTATGAAGTTTCTCTGAATGCCGTAGTGGCGATGTGTATATTGTTTTATATTTTTTCCGGGTTTTTTTTTGGTGACGGGGTTTTAGTATATATATATATAAAAACATATGAATATATATTACGTTTTTCTTGTTTACTGTAAAAGTATACCAGTATTTGTAATATTGGAGAATGCCTGGGCATTTTACAAAAATAGAAAAAAGGTTGTTTTTCTTTTCTTTTTTTTGCAGTCCAATTTAAATTGTGGGTCTCTTAAACTGTTTTTGTCACTGTAATTGTAAAAGTCTTAAGTTTTAGTAACTTTTATTCTGCCTTGGGTGTAATGAAATAAAAATAAACACATTTAAAAATGACTTGGATTTGGTGGTGGGATGGCTGTTGGGGTTTGGTGGGTGGACGGGTTTTCTACCTTAGAACTTCAGAACATTTGTTCTGCTTTCCAGAAGAAACACTGAGAATACTGACTTGTATCTAGTTCTCTTCTTCTTGAATGGAGTATTCTTCATGGATGGTTTGAAATACAATTGTAGGCACTTGCTGTCTTTCCTAAGGAGCTTCTTTTTTTTACTTGAAGGCTATGTGCATCCTGTTGTGAACACAGTACCTCGTCATGTCTGCTCTTATATCTGGTGCAGGGGAGCGTGACTTCCTGCCAATGAAAAGATAAAACTCACAGGCTGCCACCAGCTGTCTCTCTCTTTGGCAGTACAAGTATCTGATTAATTTGTACTTGTAATGAATCGTACTGAATCACATTGTACAGTAAGCGATCACAAGGCTGTTAGACAGTCTTAAAGTAACACAGCCAATGTTCAGTTTACCGCTCCATTATTTGTACATAGTTTTCTATGACGCTGTTTTACTTTTTATTTGTTTGTGATCTTTAACTGGCACTGGCGGTGACTTCCTGTTTCTGAAGGGGGGGTGGCGCGGTGTTATTCTGTTTGAACTTTGTGACCTTCATGTGTGTTTTCCGGCACATGCCTCCCCCATTGATATTCCTCGCATTGAGAACAGAGCACAAATACAAGCTGTTACAATTATTCATCCTCTCATTGTTGTCTCCTTTTCTTTGAGCTGGTCCGACAGACAGGGACCATGGAAACATTGACAGACATGCACCTGAAATATTACTCACAAACTCTTCAATTCTGCTCCGGCATCTGATGAAGTCCCTGCAAAACATTTACTGCTTCTCACAATGATCACAACACACATAATCATATGAACACATTCAAATCCAACAAATGCCAACATATTAAAGAAGAAAACAGGCTGACAGTACATTACTTTAATGTTTGTTTTTTTTAACCAATAGAGAATGGTCATGCTTTGATAAACCCCTGAATGCTACTGGATCAGCCCCTCTTGAAATCAGAATCAGCATCGGTTTTATTACGTAGGTAGGAATTTGCTGTTTATATGTGGTGCATACAAAGACACAGAAAGAAGAATACATGGAAGTAATGGGGTTTTTTGGACAGAAACTATCATTTACATTTTTTTACTATGTTCAATCTGAATTTAATTTAAAAATAAATACATCTATATTGATTCTGACTTTTCTACATCCAACTCACAGGTTGCTTTGAGAAAAAAGATTATTAATTTACCCCTTTTAGAAGTGAAGATATAGTCATTTGTTCTGGGCATGTCATTTTCGAGCCTGAGACCTGAAAAACAGGCTCAGGGCTAAACAGAATACACTCAGCCTAATATTTGTTGGTCACTAAAACCTAACCCAACATTTAAACATGCAAAAAAACGTTGTCTCTATCTTTTTCAAAACCAGCAAAAGCACAACACTTATATTTACTTTTAAAACTTTTTTATGATTTCTTACCATTGTTTATCACTACATGTTGGGGTTTTGATTTTTTTATACTGTCTAAAAAATTCACGAGTCATCTTAACCTTACATAATGGAAACATGCTTAGTGTTGCAGCTGCAGAACACACTCTATTAGCAACATGAAACACTACCAGGGTCTTCAGTTCAACACGTGTAAAATAAATACACACATACAGCTAAAGAGGCGATGACGTACAATGCTCAGTACTTCTGTAACTTTTACGCTTCGGAGCATTTTGCCTCATTACACATTAAGATAAATCAGCTGTTTCTAAATGTTTAAATGATCGGTTTATTCAAAACTATCTATCAATTCTTTATTTACTTTTTTGAGCTGCTGTAGATGCAGAAATATATACTATCCTGAGGTATTTAATATTTTTAACATCAGTACCTGTTTAAATAAAAAGAGACAGCGCAGCAGCTATCGGCCACTTTCAAACTAGTAAAACACATTTTTAAAAACCGTGTTACTGTTTTCTGTCTGTGTTTTTTATGTGTTCTTCACAGTAATACTCTGTGTACATTACGGGTCAACGTTTGAGTTCAATAGGCTAGGCTTTATTGCTGAAATGTATAAATTAAGCTGCCTGACCTTCCTTATAGACTGGCTATAGGTCTTAATGGTTTCAGAGATATTGCTTCAAGGATCACTATCAGTACTCAAACATTCAGAATACAGTAATGGGACAGAAGTCTGTGTGCATGACAACAGAGGCTTAAAGCCAGGGGACAGTGGAATGAGAATTATAGCCACATCTTCACACGAGTCAGAAACCTCTGGCTTTCTCTCAATGACAATGTCATTTCTCTTTGATTTAGACAAATCAAAATGTTATTGTACAAATCTACAATCATTTTGTGTTATATATTATGAAAGCATGAAAACGAGCACATAAAGAACAGATGAACACGGCATTTAAGGGTTGATTTTTAGGGAGAAAGGAGTTAATGATCTTTTTTATTAATTGGCTCATTGAATGCTTTTTGTGTCTATGCATTTCTTGTGACATGAAAGATTTAGAAATAGAAATCAGCTCCCTAAAATAAAGACAGTTACTTTGTCATCATTTAACCTGTTCAACCCAGAGGCCCCCCACGTCAGTGTCTCAGGGCTTCTTAACATTTAAAAACCTATTAATGTGTCATACCCGATTAACGGGAAGAAACTCAGCTAACTGACGATACGAACCATTTTTACCAAAACAAAACACAAGTCTCACAAGAAGCGTCTAAATCGATTAGCAAGCTGAGATTCCACAGATTCTAGCGGTATAAGTATCATCACTGAGCGATCAGAACTCACGACAGGGGAAGCAAACACAGACATCACAACACGGAGCTTTACGGAGCAAAAACTGGACATTGTCTTACCTATGCTGTTGTTCTGATCAAAAGTCGTGTTCAATGGCATTAAAACGACAAAAACGCTGCTGAAGGTTAATCCATAGGTTAATCCAATGTGTCTATGTCACTTTGAAATGATTACTGATAATCCATCGTCATATTTATGGCAAAAACTGAGTTTTCATATATAGCTATTATGATAGCTACGAGAGTGTATGACAGCTTCCGGTTTTGGGCATTCTGGCTGTGCATCACTCATTCACCAATGGGTAATATTTAGATGGATTTTAGGAACTTCCCCTCGATTCTATTGGCTCTAACGGTTAAAAAAAGGTGTCAATCATCAAAATCGACCGATGGGTTCCAGAGATATTGAAAATCCACCCAAATGACCCCAGAAGTGTTTTTGTTTTTTTAAATCTCTCTAAAAAGGTCACATTGTTCACTTGTTTTGCATCAATCTTGATACAGAGTACTTATTATATGTTATAGTTTGGATTCCTAAAGCTTTTAGTCTACTAACCCATCATTCAAGGGTAGTTTTCACTATAAGTAATGTTTTTTTTTGGACGGACACTATAATTTAATTGTTTTTACTATGTTCAATCTGAATTTACTTTAAAAACATCTATATTGATTCTGACTCTTCTACATCCAACTCACAGGTTTATCATTGCTTTGAGAATAAAAATTATTAATTTAACCCTTTTAGAAGTGAAGATATGGTCATTTGTTCTGGGAATGTCATTTTCGAGCCTGAGACCTGAAAAACAGGCTCAGGGCTTAACAGGTTAACATTTCAGAGTATTCTCACTTACTTGGACTTAATTGTATCTTCTTTTTCTGCAGAGGAGGAGCAAAAACTTCCAGAACCACAATTAGTGTGAGGGAGGCAGGAGTGAGCAGAACTTGTGATTTGGCGTGAGTTTCAAGGCGAGCGGATAATTAAGGCCTCTCCCCGGCTGGCCTGCACTTTGAAGTCCCCAACGGGGGGGGGAACAGAAACAGAGCCAAGTAATGAGACCCAACACGTGACGCAGAAATTGGGAAAGCTTTGAGTGAAGCCTCAGAAACAAATATTTAAAAATCACTAGTAATTTTTCAATAATCGCTAAAATATGAAAATATTTGTGTGGCAATTCTCAGAGTGTTTACATTTATAATGAAGCAGTGGTGATGGATTATTGATAAGCTGGAAAAAAAAACACAAAAATACTTAACTGAACTTTTGGCGTTCAGAGAGCGTGGGCAGAAACAGCCTCAGAAAGTCATTTTATTTACCAAAAACAACTGGATATGGATTTATTCTGGTTCGAAATGCGATTTTTTCCGTATTTATCTTCTACAATAATCAAATAAACAAAAAAATTGAGTTGCAGACTGTTGGTGGGGAAAAACAAGACATTTGAAAACATCCACTTTTTTAACCACTTGATTAATACATCCTTGATTGATTTGGTCATAGGTCATAAACACAACCTGTATCTAGTGTATGTCCGTTTGGATCCGCTGACAGAGTTGCAATAATGTTTTAGTTGTAATTAACAATGTCATTAGATTCATGCACCCACAGGAAGCCCCCCCCCACCACTTCCTCATTATTAGCCTTCTAACCTGCTTTTATTTCCACTACCTTGAAGGTTTGTGTGTGTGTCTGTGTGTGTGTTTGTGTGTCTGTGTGTGTGTGTGTGTGTGTGTGTGTGTGTGTGTGTGTGTGTGTGTGAGTGTGTGGGTGTGTGTGTTGGGGGGGATTAAGTCAGACAGACACCTCTGGTTATTCAGAGGTATGGAATTATTTCAAGACCCTGACTGGCTGTCAGCCTCGCTGCGCCTCCTCCCCTCCTCATTAAAAAAAGGAGCAACTTCAAATGACTTAAGCCGCTGGTCGTCAGCACCAAAGCCACACTGTTGACAGGTACAGTAGGTCTTAAGCCTTCAAGATCAACGCTGCTATTCTGCCTGACAAAATCCCCCTGCAGGGATCCTCCCCGACTGGATTGCAGAGGAATGAAGGAGGGAGGGTTTGGAGGAGAAAGAGAGATGGGGTCAGACGAGGAGGTGTCGCAATGTCAGGAAGAGCAGCTTGTAGAGAGGTTATTGCGTTTCATTAATGCAGAGGTTTCACGGCCAATCAGGAGAGTCCCTGCGTGGCTGGTAATTATTACCATTATCATTCAACAGCCCTGTCCAATTGATTGACAAGCCTGTTTCATGGCTCTTTCCAAAAAAGCAGATATCAAGCTTTCAGATGTCAATTTCCCCCAGCAAATGAATCCTCATCAGACTCTTACTCTGCTCGATTTGATCCCAGAATGCAGCGCTGCACATACATGAGAAGTAGGACCGGCACTGCCTCCTCTTGAGAACCTAAATAAAGGAGTACAATTGTCAGTTAAATGCTCCATACATACAGTGACTTGACTAAACCCTTTGTTTCCCTTTGAATCTGCATATTGTTTCACCAGAAAGCCTCATATTGCTGTTTCTGAAATAAATACTTCTCGGAGACAAAGCAGAAGCCATCGATTTAGTTCCTCTCAGAATCACAGCCACTTAGACAATAACACATGTAGTGCGTTATTATCTGAGTGAATCAAAGCCTTTATGTAGGAGAAAACAAGCGAAACAATAAAGGGAAAGTTGAATGCAACAGTGATTTGTGCTCTGCCACAAACTTAAGAGCAACTTATGTGTTTCATCCCCTTCTTTTTAATGCGACAAGCAGGGTGAGTCCTTTAAAAGAGACGGGAAAGAAAGAGGGAGATAGAGGAAGTGGTGCCTTAGCGCTGGAACTACTGAAAGCGGCGTATAAGAGGTGCGTGGTGTCTTTTTGATATTCAGATTCCCCTG